TTAAAATTACGTTCATTTCAGTGGCAGTAATTGCAGTGGCTTGCTCCTACTAAGAATGATAATTATTGTCTGATTATTCTAGATCTGATTTTGGGTACTTTTTTTTTCCCCAAAAAAACAGCAGTAAACCAAAGACTAACTTGTGGGTCCTCTTTGTCATATTCTTGGCTCACTGAAAGCCTTAAATAGTTGGTATTAAGTCACTTCTCATAGAATTTGTGCTATCTATCCAGACCCAGCCTTGACTGATAATAAAACAATGTTTAATGTTCGCAACAGACCAGACTTGAAAGACCATTCTTAAAATGGCCCCTGTTTGCTAAGTAACTTTCCTTTGGTTAAGAAAAATAATGATGAGGCTAAATAATGAATGAGCTAAAGATGAAACTGTGAAAAGGGACACCTCTTACTTCTTTTATTCCCACAGATGTCTACCAACTTTGAAATAAAGCAGCTCTATATTGATAATTCTGACTTCATAGTTCCTTTCTTTTTAATCTATTGTTTATCCAGTTACTTCCACCTTGTTCCTCCAGCTTCCCCTCCACTCACCCAGAAATGCAAAGGCCAGTGAAACCTTGTTTACCCTGTCGTAATCCTTTAAGGTGGTTTCTCTCTTCATTTCCTTCTGGTTAAATCAAATAGGACATTAAAGTTACATTTCAGGAGAAGTGTACCTGTCACCTAAATTCTTTTGAGAAAGGCAGACTGGCATAGCTGTGGTCATGGGCAGCCTGACTCCCAAATATCTCCTGCTGCTTATGTGTTCTGGGCAGTTTCCTGAGGTTGTGACACATTACTGGGTTGTTCTAACTTGGCATGATCTCTTGCCAAGCTGAAATAATGCTTTTTTTCAGCCTAGTCTCTTGTCTGGCCATTAACACCAATGATAATTTTGTGTGGAGAGTCTAGTAATTGAATTTTATATCATCTTCTCATATGACCAATCTTCCTAAATCCCTATTTTTGTCTCCATCATCATTGTTTAATGCCCTTTCAATAGTTGACTTTGGTTCTGCCATTAATTTATTGAAATCCTGAAATCCCTCTTACATTTACTGTTAGCTAGTGTAATCTCTTGGGGGCAACATGTTTACTGTCAAATACATTAAAGTAGTCCATCTTAATTCATTCTCCAGAGTATCTCCTATAAATTACAAAGAATGTCCTCTAGCTAAGACATTGTGGGATTTGGGGAAATAAGCTCATCTCAAGCTTTCACCACACAATATTTAAGCAGCTGCAAAGATGAAGAAGACAAAGCTGCCAGGTCATCCCCTGAAAATCCCAAGACACATATTTTTAACATTTGCATTCTTATTTACATAAATTTGTATGCTCCATTCAAAAGGTGCTGACTTCAATTATGTAAAATAAAGCATGCAAACTTCTCTAGTTCTGAAGGTGTATCATCACACATTCCAGGCTTGCTTGCCTGCTGCCCAGAGATTTCTCTGACTACTTCTCTACCCTGAGAACTTCCCCTCCTTTGTTCATACCCTCTAATCAAGACCATTAAGGAAAAGAGTTCTCATTTATTTGTAATGTTTGAGTTGAATCCAAGGTTTCTTTCTTTTTTTTCTGTTATGATTTCATGTTGGAATCCTTTGTTTTCCAATTGAGGTTTTTCACAAGAATGTCCCTTCCTCCACAGCAAGGAAATGTTGGCTCTTGGTTCGTCTTGGGGTACCATAGTTTGAAGAGTAGAAATATCATCTGGCTCTAGCCTACAGGCTTTCACCTAACACTAAGCCTCTTGCTAGTGAAGAAGAGAGTCTGGATTCAGGATTGATAAACTTTAGATTCACTTTTTACTCCAAACACTGCTGTTGACCTTTATAATACAAATTTCATTGTGTTTACATTTTCATCATCGTTTCCCCCACCCCCCACCCCAAGTGCATGGATAACAGAGTTGATTACAAAGTGAATTTGTTGCAGTATTTTGTAGCCAGTATTTTAAACCCAGAAGTCAGAGCTAATGGAAGAAAACAGCAAGACTCCCCTTTGGTACCAATACCACTAATCAAAGATAGTCCTGGTGTCACTAAACAGATACGGGAGGGGAGGGAGAGGAAAATCACATAGTGAGATAGTATCACGGAGCCAAAGTGATCATACAGCACTTCCACTCTCTGAAAAGCATTCCAAAAAGTTACTTTTTTATACTGCTGTATTTCTTTTTTTAAAGATTTACTTATTTATGCATACAGAACTGGAGTACAGGCCAGAGGTGGAGGGGCAGTGGAAGGATTCACCAGAGACGGAGTGGGGAGCAGAACAGGCCGACTGATAAAGTACACTGCTGAGGGGAGCAGCAGGTGAGATAGGAGAGGTCTGCTACGCCATGTGGGTCAACCTGGCTGGGTATCAAACTTGTGCTGAAGCAGCTGCTGACAGCTTCTCATTGCTGTTAGTATTTCTGTTTTTTTTTTTAAAATATATTTAAAATTTATATATATATATATATATATATTACATAATTCTTCATTTTGTACATATTTTCATCTAGTTATGGACTTTCCACCACTTTACCTATAAGTCATCACTATAGAGTCCTGTGTGCTCTTCCCACCCCATGGATGGAGCTGGAAAAGATCATGCTTAGTGATATATGCCAGAAAGACAAAGAAAACTACCGGATGGTTTCACTCATAGCAGGAGTGTAAAGGAATCAGGACTATGTATCTATCTATATAGATAGATATATATTATATATATAATTGAAATAAAGTAAAACAAAAAAACACACATCAACTAACAACTATAAATCATAAACATTGCACCTGGGAGGAAAGGGTAACAGGTGTTGTTAGTATTTCAGATCAGGTCTAGGAAACAGTCAACTCAGGACTGCTGATTGTATTAAAATGAAGTTTAGTCAAGAAAGACCCCTGGGGGCTTCATTGAATTCTAACCTCTTTGAAATGACTTCTCTTAGTCACCAGAAAGCAGAAGTCTATTTAAAGACCTAAAGATAAGCAAAGTCAAATTAGGCAGAACTGGAAGGAACCGCAGTGGGACAAGGACAGAAATGCTGGAACAGCTGTCACCTTTTTTGACCTTTGGGATATATTTTGTTTATTTATCATGTTAATCTTTGGGTGAAATGATACTCCTCTCACTTGGAACTGAAGTCAGCAGAGAGGAAGGGCAGTCCTCACTGAACACAAAGTACAGAAACTTCATCCCAAGAAGCTGGGCTGCTCCCTGCTAAGCCTGCAAAACGTCAACTGTGTTGACAGCACGAGCAGGAAGCTTCCTGTTCAGCAGGAGTTTCACACTCCGCAGACAGCTGCCTTGGCAGGACTTGCAGCCAAAGCAAAATGACCAGGAATTAGCCAGGAAAATATTCATTTCCTTTCAAAAACTGCAAAAACTCTGGTTCTGCCAACATGTCTCCATACCATGGAGAGATGGAGAGAAAAAGCTCCACTGAAAGAATTTTGTTAGCTTTTGACTTGCCCCTCCAATGACTATGTTTCACCCCAGTCGGGGTGGTGTGTAGTCCACAGGTGCCCTGCAGTGACAGGAGACAGGAAGGAGGCCCCGGAAGACCGTGGTCTTCACATTACGCTGTCCCTGGGAAGGTTCTGGACACACTCGCCAGAGTTTGGTTTTTCTTCTAGACACAAAACAGTGACCTCTCCAGTTCCCATTTCTTGAGATGAGCAAACTGGAGATGTATTTCTCTCATTTTACCACAGGTACTGTTTTTCACTTATTCATTCACTCAATTTATTTGCATAATTTACCCATTGGCTGGATACATGTCAACAAAATAGGTTAAAAAAATTCTTGCTCTTATAAATTTATATTAAATTATTTAATCCTAGTGACCATCTCTCGGGGCAGGTACTAGTAGTGTCTTTTACAGGCCCCTTATACAAAGTCATATAGCCAGTGTCTGGGACCAAAAGTCTGCCACTAGAAAAATAAGGCTTTTTACAAAAAGGTTGATTTCATGGGAGGAGCTCTGAAGGCTAGATGAAGGGTTACTTAGAAAAATATATTTTATATAGTAACTTCTACAAGGGCATGTCCCAGAAAACCTAACTTTCTTATCTCTTTTCAGTGGGGAAGGCAGAGTTTGATTTGCATACTTTCTTCTACTGTGCCCTCAGAGACCCTAGTTGATGTTCACTTTCTCCTCCCCTTGCTTTCTTAGTTAAGCTACTTCAGATGGCATCGGAAGTCATGTGGAGAGTGGCTCTGTCACGCTGGCTATCTCTTATGTGTGCAAGAAGTAGATTTACTATCAAATTTCTTTTTGAAGTTCTTTTTATCAATCTGTCTAATGCCAGTTTGACTATTTCCTGGCCTAGAAGAACCCAGAGGGGTACAGGATTATTTCCTTTGCCCCCGACAACATTAGATAGCAGAGCAAGGATTAGAACCGAGGCAGGCTGGCAGCCTGAGAGTCCATAACCTAAACCGTTGTGTTCTCTATACTCCCCTGTGAGATAGACAGATGTGATTTTCAGGTTCAGACAAGTAGCAGTTCAGGGGAAAAAAAAAACTGTAATTTCTTCTCTAAAGGTAAAATCTTTCATTCTACAAGATAGTTTAAGTAAAAAATATGGCAGATGTTATCATTGAGACAAATGTATAACGGTGGCTAGATTTTACACCAACATGTTGAAATATTTTTCCTCTCCTATAATATAAATTACTAAAAACAGCCTCTTTCTTCCAGCAAGTTTTCATAGGCAGAGGAAGGTGGTAAGGAGATAAGAACCAGGACATTAAGGGCATTAGGAAGGACATCACCAGGGTGGAAGTGGAGGCATCAACATCCCTCAGTTCAACACTGGTGTATCTAAGGCAGGAACCACTAGGACCAACAAATAGTTCAAAGTTGGATTTTTGAACTACTGACTGATTTTATCAGTCAACTCTATATCAATTCGATCATTTCACCCAAATAACTCAAGACAAAATAAAGTAATATAGAATAGGTTCAAATCAAATTGTTCAATAAGAAATGGATGGGCTCTTACTTTGCTAATTGGCTTCTCAATCAGAGGGCTTGTGAAGCAGACCGGAGTGATGCTTCTGTACAGTGAAGGTTTCCATTGCTGTTCCTGCAAGAAAGGAAACACACACAAAGATTTCAGGGACTTAGCTGGCTTTCCTGCTGCATGGAGCCATTTCCCTGTTTCTCACAGAATGCCTCAAGCATGTCAATTTAAGGCACGCCACGTATGGAAGTCAGCATTTTGCACCTGTGTCTTTAGTTTGCGGTCTTTGCAAACTCATTTAACCTTGTACAGGGACATCTTACAAAACCATTTATTACATTTTGCAGATATTAATATATACTGGTGACAGAAATACAGAAAATTTTTGGTTACGTTTTCTTAGAACACAAAGTCTTTATGAAGATTTTTTAAAATTAATTTCACTAATATCCCATTTCATGAAAACAGTGACCACATGTAAATTCCTGGTTTTCAAATGTTCTATTCCATATCAAATAATTCCAAAGTTCTCTACCTAGTTTTTAGAACCCTCCAAAATATGATTCCTTTTCTAATTTTAGGGCTTCAGTTCCATTTTTCCCATAATTTAACCCAAACCTCAAGCCAATTTGGCCAATGTGTTTTTTTTGAGTAGACTCCAAGATGCCCATGTTTATGTTATTCTTGGTTCTGAAAATATACTTTCCTTAGTATCTGCCTATGATTCCCTACCTGTCCCAGTCAGTTTGCTAAGAAATTTTCGCTATTTTCCTTCACTTCTGACTAGAGCAAGAATAAATATCTCCCTGCCGCAGAATTCATGAACTATTATTAGAATGCTTGTCACTGTCTGCTGAGAATGTGAGCTACCGAGGAAGGACTCATGCCTTGGTTATCTTTGTGTCCTTCACAATCTCACATGGTCTTGAACATTGTTATGTTTTAAATATCTGAGTTCCTAGGAAGTCCATATATTGAAGTCCTAATCCTCAAGGTGATATATCAGGAGGCAGCACCTTTGGTAGGTGCGTGGGTCACGAGAGGAAAGCCTGCATAAATGGGATTCATGTCCTTATCAATGAGATCCACAGAGCTTCTTCCACCAAATAAGGAAATAGTGAGAAGCCCACAATCTAGAAGGGACCCTTGTCTGCCCATGTTGGTACCAAAAATATGAGAAATAAGTTGCTATTATTTATAAGCTGCCCAGTTTATGGCATTTCGTTATAGCAGCCTGCGCATACTAAGACAGTGTAAGTAATTTCTACAAGAGGGATCTTTCATTTTTGTCAGCTGAAGCTTTTTTTTTTTTTAAAGATTCATTTATTTATTCATACAGAACTGGGGTACAGGCCAGAGATGCGGAGGGTGAGAGGATTCACCAGAGACAGAGTGGGAGCAGAACAGGCAGATTGACGAGGTACACTGCTGAGGGGAGCAGCAGGCGGGTCAGGAGAGGTCTGCCGCTGCGCCATGTGGTCACCTCCGGGGCAGGCAGGGATCGAACTCATGCGGGAGTGGCTTAAGCTTCTTAGTGCTGTGCTTTAACCCACTGCGCCACCAGGGAGGGCCAGCTGAAGCTTTTTTAAATGTGGTCACTGAATTTCAAAACATCAGATCTGACTCTGTACAACATCAGCTGTAGTTCTTGCTACACTCATTTTTCACTCTTTTCATTCTTTTTAGAGGGGATATCAAGAAGTTTGTTACAGAAGGAGGAAAAACTGTGAGTCCCAATAACCCCATAAAATCAAAATGACCTTTCAAAATGTGTCCACAAACATTGACCATTGACCCATCCCAACCAACTTCCCAGGGCTCATTAATTGGCCTTGTTTCTTGAGTGAAAGGAAGATTTTTCAGTGGTCTTAGCAAAGGAATGGAGGAGGGGCCTCTGAAATCTGTACCCGTACTGTAACTAATCATTTTACTCTTGGCAAATTACTGGTATTTCAGCTAAGATGGCCCTGCCTGTAAATATGATTTGCATTATGTACACACATTTTGCACACTACATTGAGACTAACTATGGTGGTATTTGTGGCCCAGAAAGGCAAAGCATAAGTCCTGGGGAAGAGACCCTGCAATGGCTTTCAGAGAAGCCGGTCAAACCTCTGGCTTCTTCCCATGGTCAGGGGTTATGAATGGATTCTGAGAAATGTGGATTTCTGTCTTTCAAGAGTTCAACTGATAGAGCAACTCATTTTGCAGGTCATGTTCCAGTCATCAAAGTTTAATTACCATCAAACTTCACTCACTCACTCAAGGATAATAGCATGCATGAATGAAAGTTACAAAGGACCCCATCCCCCAACCCCACCTTCCAGAGATAAAAAGGCAATGAATAGCAGCAGCAGCAAGGCCAAAGGATACATTTGAGACTGCAACTTTATAAAATGAAAATAACAGTCTCAGTGTTAATGATGTGGGCACATGACTCTTGTTTTGAGGAAGTCAATCTGCAGACACAGTAGATGAATCTGAGGAACTCTGTCCTTCCCTGAGGCTGGCCCAGTTGCCATGACAACGTGTAACTAGTTTCTTTTGGATTGTTGTACAGTCTAATTTTCTTTAAAGATTCCCTTGATATGTCTGCACTGGGTATACTTAAGGCTGAGGCATAGTCATTGCAGAACATAGATTTCTTATGTAGAAGTTATTTTCTTAAAAAAATAGCTTCACTAAATATCTCATTGTACAAAATCAATGAGCATTGGTAAATTTCTGGTTTTCAAATTTGGATTTGAATATGATGATTCTGGATCACACATAAAAGGGAATTTTTGAAATAATGGGTTCTCATGCTAAACACAGAGTAGTGACAGGCATAGGGTTATTTCTAAATAGCATTTTCCTTTCCTTATCTCCCCTTCTCATTTTGAACTTTCTACATACAATGTTGTTGTTGTTGTTTGGCTGACTGACTGGGGGGCTAGTGTTTACTGTTTTTCCATTATCTAACTCACCCTTTGCTAAATGTGGGGAAGGGGGACATAGACAAAGAAGAATAGTCAAGAAAGAAAGAATAGTTGCTGAAGTCTCAGGCAAAGCAGTCCTTCTCTTCAGTTTTCTGGAAAATGAAGGTAATTATTACCCCTAGATCTTCATCCCACAAAAACTTCAGGCACTCCTGAGAAGCTAAGAGCTGCAAAGAGATTTCCAAACGACAGATACCTGATGTTATTTTTCTAGGACAAGATTCCTAAAAGAAGGCCAAAGAAATGACTGGAGCCTTTGCTGAAATTACAACCTTCAGTGTTTATCCTGGTGCCTGAAATATAGAGTAGCTCTTGGTGCCAAAGGACAGAAATAATCTTGGCTTGTGAGGAGGAGACTCAGGGATCATCTGGCAGGCTCTGCTGATTGAGCAGCAGGGCCAATCCAGATGGCATCTGCTTAGGGTGCATCACTGGGCACCCCAAAAGGGTCCTAAGAATACTGAAGAAAAGTGCACTCAGAAATCTTGATTCTATATTCCTCAGAAGACATGGACATCAGGGTCCATCAGGTATCCAGCCCCTCCCTCACACCTTGAGACTAAGAACAGTGTGTTCCATTTTGAGAAAGAAGTAGATTCTACCTTAAAAATTGTCCTTCCTCTATCAATTATTTCTCTATAAAAAGAACTGCACCTTGTATCCTTAGTGCTTTTTAAAGAACTATAAACACAGCAGTTTAGCTATCTTCACAAGCCATTTCTAGGACCTAGGATGTTGGAGGAACTGGGACATTTCAAACAGTGGGAGCCAGGGGAGAAGAAAATTTCTGAAAAGGACATGGTAGAGATACTCACCATTGTTCTGGTCCCTCCTCTCCCAGGACCCAACCTGCTGCCTGAGGCCTATCACCAGGGACTTGGGCCCTCCCAGGCATCCCAGCTAGAGTTCCTTCCTTGGAAGGGTCAAGCATACAGATGCAGAGGTGAGGTGGCCTTGGGAAGGGAGGAGACCTGGGTGGAGGACCATTAAATGTTGACTCACTCAGGCTTGACCAGACTTCCTCCCTTTTTCCACACTCGAGTACAGTTTTGGTGAACTTAAGTAAACTATGCATACTGCTAAGTTTTCCTACTTCCTTTTGAGTTATTATCACAGACCCACACCAGCTCCGGTATGTGAAAATCCCCTACCCTCAAAACTCTCAGGCAGAGAGGGGGGTCACAGGGGAGAAACATACAAACGTTTCAGTTTTTTAAGATTTCTGGGCAGAATTCTGCCAGAGGCTGACCTGCTTATATATTCTTCAGCATCTCCCTCAGTACCCATTTTCTTTAAATGCTCCGCTAAATTTTTGTCTTTCAATTTCCACATCTTGGATGTTTTACATGCTGATTTTTAAAGTGCCCCTTGTGCTTTTTCCTTCCTTCCCTGTGTTTTATGCCCCTTAATGCCAACTGTACCTACCACAAGGCTACCATCACAAAGAACATTAAAACAAGTATTGTTGAAACACTCCACAACATTAATGGGATTTTCGAAAGGAGGCACATTTCCTTCACGGTACTCTTGGGGGCTCTGAGTTTCCTGCCTGCCTTTGTCCTAATGCATGATATTTTGCTTCAACACCATTTTGAATCACATTGCTATCTATATATTTTCCACTTAGGATGACAAATTACATAGTCTGTGAATTTTTAATATGTAGTGACTGCGTAATTTTCTATCACCAGATACAGCATAATGTATTTGATACCTTGACAGATGTTTTGATTATTTCAATTTTTCCTATATATGCTTGAGATTTTAAAACAGTTTGATAGAATTCACATACCATACACTTGACCCATTTAAAGGGCATAATTCAATGTCTCTTTGCATACTCACAGGGTTTTACAGGCATCATCCCAATGCCATTTTAGAATTTTTTTGTCTCTTGCCAAAAACCAACCTTTACCTATTAGTGGTCATTCATATCCTTCCTGTCCTACCCCACAGCCCTAACCAACCATTAGTCTATTTTATATTGTTGCATTTTTGTCTATTCTGGACATTTTATATAAATGAAATGTGAACTTCATGTTTTTACTTAGCATGTTTTTCAAAATTCATCTGTGTTATTATTTTATGATTCCTCATTGGCAAAAAAAAAGTCCTCTACCTATTCATTCCACTTTAAGGCTATTA